AAGCTCGATTTTGAGACTCTCGAGAACTCTTCTCTACGGATTTTTATTTAACGAAACCTTGCTAACACTTTGGTCTCTCGTGCTAATAACTTTCCCTTCGAGGCATACGAATTAAAAAAGAAAAAAAAAAAAAAAGAAAGAAAAGAAACGAAAAGAAAAGAAACAAAAAACAAACGTTTGCTTGAAAATGTTTGGTCAATAATCGACGATATTAAGATCTATCGGCGAAAGTCAACAGTCGTATGTTCATTCGAGATAAAGACAAACGTTCCTTAAACGGTACTTTAAACGTGAAATCCGATAAATAAGAAAGATGATGTAAAAGAGAGAAGAAATCGAACTGTAAAAGGTACATTATATATTCGAGAACGTACTCGATCGTTATGTAAATCTGGCTCCTGGAATAATATATGCATACATTTGTCTTAAATAATAGTATATCTTTGGCCGACAAATCCTTAGGTATACATTTTATTCCGATCTGTTTTTTTTTATTTTCTTTCATTCTTTCTTTTTTTTTCCTTTTTTTTTTTTCATTGATCGTTGAATAATTGCTGATAAATTGGTAGATACTCGAAGAAAATAAAGAGATATAAGGAATAGGAAATTTCAACGATAATTATTCGTTAGGTATTTACTTTTGATTTGTGTTTCTGACAGAGAGAAACATCATAGTCACGATCGTACGATGTGGTTCTCTACGTTGAGCTTGGATATTCGCGAGGAACGCGTTTATTTCGTTCGAGACTACTACGACGAGGAAGAAGTTGCAACGCTCGCAAAATGACGGATCGTTTGAAGAGAGACGAGAAGAAGAGTGGAAGTAAATGTGAGGTATTAGCGTCGTGATAATATCGTCGTTTTCTACGAACAAAAGAAGCATCGAAATCCCAAACCCTTTCCTGAGTTTTTTCTCTTTCTTTTTTTTTTTTTTTTTTTTCACATCGCGCATTAAGAGAAAAGACTCGGATCACGCGGGAGACGTTTTCAGGACATAGCCGCGATTATGTTCTTACGCCAGGGGCCACCGCCGCCTCTACTATCCTGTATCTCGATTTTGCACGCTTTCTATAAATATACATATACATATACATATATATATATATATGTATATATATATATGTTTATAGAATAATAATAATAATAATATGTATATATATATATATTTATATATACGTTTGGGCACACGTGCAAATATATGCATAGTGTTTTCATTAAATTCATCAAAATTATAAGGCCATCTTGAAGCGAGATAAGCGAGAAAGTTTTAAAATCGAAAAATAAAGTTTTCAAAAGTACTGGCAAAGTGTTTGGTCGAAACTCCTTCCCGTGGCTTTTCAAAAGTTGTTGACCGAAAACGTGATACTAGTTTCAGACGAAATAATCCCTCTTTCTTGGAAAGACAGATATACCAAGTTTGATGTTCGATTGGGAAAAGGCGGAGGAGCGGGCGAAAAGAAACTTATAAGTAGCTTTGAGGGAATACCGACGTTTCCGGAAACGAAGAGGTCCAAACGTTAAAGTTAATCGCGGGTTACCAATAGAGAGAAACGCTCTACCGCAGTCGCAATTATATTTCCACCGAGATCTACGTGACCCGATATGCGCCTTTCGAGTTAGCTCCAAATTGCTATCTCTCTTTATCTCTCCCCTATCCATCTTTGTCTCCCTATAATCAGTTACGTAATTTCGTTTCTTCGAAATAATTTTCCTATAGATTAAAATAATGTCACTACGTTCGTACGTTTCGAATGAAAATAGAATCAACGATGTTGTAATTTACACGATAGTTACGCTTTATTAAATCAGAACGATAAGATCTTAGACGTTATACGAAAGATTTGAAAGGCTAAAAATAATATTAGGTATCAGGCTTTAGTTTACGTGAGAATAATCGTCGAGTAATAAAAGAAGGAATTTCCAAAGGTGAAGGGGCAAATAGAACTAGAATAGAAGAGGAAGAGCATGATTATAAATTAGAATGGAGTTCGGTAGACGTGAGTTAGAAACGCGACTAGATGTGATTCGCTCGTCACGATAATGGCCTTGTATACGATTCTCTGCATTCGCACGTTACAACCAACAACGCACACAGCCGATAACGTTAACGACGATGCAGGTTCACACATTTCGTCCTTAAGCAAATTGCCAGGCAAATATTCAAGCCGCAAATGCTCGTTACAGCAAACTCCTCCTGTTGTCGTTGCAACATCTCGGAAAGGAGATGGATCGAGATTCAATTTGATTCATTGTTATACGTATTATAGTTTTAAGCGCTATCATCTATATTGCTTCCTGGTCGAAACTTTAACGTTACATTATTTTTCGATGGGCAACAATGTTGACGGATTATGAAAAAAGAATTTAGAGTACAAAGGATTAATGGCATTTCCTGTGCCCTACGTTATACGCTATGTACCATGCAAGTTATATATTATACATGGTATTATATCGTGCATTACGTATTACTCATTGTGGACCGTAGTAAATATATTACGCAGGCTGCCGGTAATGCTTATTCCGGGTGTACAAGTATACGGCGCGCTTCTCACACGCACCACCACGTATATGCACATTATATGGGTGTAATATATATATATATATATATATATATATATATATATATGCGCGTCTGGAAATATAATAATATGATATAATATAAATAGAAAGGGTCGTGTTTCTCATCTTCCTTTTTTCTTCGTTCATCCGAGTATAGGTCAGTCAGGCAAATTGCAAACATATTATCGTGCATGCACAGATCCCAATATAGAAGCTTGGACTACTAAAGCGAGGTCTCGAAGCGAGAGCAGGTGCCTATCCGCGAATTCCTGTGGTTTCGACAACGTAACTGGATTATGCGGCATGCTACATAGGTGAATTAGCAGGCAAATGTTCGATAAATTCGTTTGTTCGCCGATCGATAGGTCGCGGTATTGCTAGGCGATCTACTCGATTGTCCAGCCGCACACACTAATCGGGCATGTTTCCCCTTCTCCTTCCAGCACACCCTCCTCTCTCGCGCACGATATCGCGATTTGCTTGGACGAGCATCTCTTCATCGGCCATAAGGGCAAACACGCCACGAAATGATCTTACTTTCACTCGCCGTAATACTCGTAATAATGATCGTTACCAACGACGAATTATCTCGGGCACGAACGAAATACTAAAAGTACTAAATCCGAGGCTGTCGATTTTCTAAATGAATTGAAATATTTTACGAGCTCTATCGAGAATATAAGATACGTTAGCTCGGTCATATGAATTACACCAGCCCTACCTTCGATTTCGCAGGAACTTTGGGAAAATGGCTTTGATCCAACTACGACACGTTTTCTCCTACGTTTGTCTTTTGGAATTCACAAGTGATCCACGATGATATTCGATCTAATAAAACCTATAAATCATTGAGATTCCAAAGTACATTCTTGAGAGAAGTCGAGTCTCAAGTTGGCCGTTATGTGAAACTCGTTCCGCGGATCCAGTTATGCTGTTCGTGATGCAACGTTTCGAAGGACACTAACGAAACTAGCTCCTCGCGAACTTTGCACATGGAAATTTTATAATCTCCGCAAATTGCAACTCAATCGATCAATTTGATATAATAATAATAATAATAATAATAATAATAGTAACCGCAATAATAATAATGTACTATTTTTTTCTTGGGACAAGCAATACACGAAACTTGGTTTTATGGTGAAACGATGATTTTTCGACCTAATCAAAAAGTAAATTTGCATAGACTCGTCTATCCTATCTACTCGAACGGCTATTCTTGGGACAAAAGGACGAATTACTTTAAGTAGGTTAGACGAGAGCGTTACGAAACGGATCTCTCTCTCTCTCTCTCTCTCTCTCTCTCTTGTGCGCGCGTCGAAGAAAGCGCGACACGAAAGGAGACATTTTTACAAGGTGGAATCTTAAAGGTGATCGCTAGTAGGTACCTGGATACTGAATGCACGCGATTGTCTTTGAACACGAATAGTCTTGCGTAAACGAACTCAATGTCCTACGTTAAAAAGTAAACAACACGTTTTAATATTTCTTTTGCATTCGATGAAAAACGAAAGGAAAGGAGACAAATGTCTGGAGCTAAAGTGATAAAGTCGTTAATTTGCTTTAAAAGAACGAAACGATATGCATTTTTTTTTTTTTTTTTGTTTTTTCTAATTTAGTTAGGAGAATGTCGGTCGAAGTGATTAGCTATGTACATTAATCGGTAGACAGGTAGTAGAGTACACCTAATATTCCTGTACACATAGTGCAAACGAGGAGAGAGATCGATCGATCACCTACGACCAATCAGAACCTACGTAACACCGGTTTGTCCAAACAAATTATTTCCTCCCGATTAGTCCGCCGAGCGTTTCGCGTAACATAACATGGCGAAGCCAGTATATTTGCACGTCGGATTAAATCCCACACGCCTACGCTTTATTGCTACGCACACACCGGCAAACCACACTTGAGGTTTTCGAATTTCAATTCGCGCTAATTTTACGTTCTTCTTCCCTTGCGCGACCGCTTTAAAAGACCGCTAGAAAGTTTTGTATAAAGAGCACTTATGCAACTTACTCTTTATCTATCTTTCCAACGCTTTTCCACCATTTTCTCTCTCTCTCTCTCTCTCGCTCGCTCTCTCGCTCTCGCTCTTGCTCTCTCTCCAATCAACGCCACCGCCATCGATCACGACCGCTCCAGGAGAAAACAACGAATGTCGCGTTTTACTGAATTTACGATCGTCTCGAACGATAAGAGACGAGAAGCTTCGAAACCTTTTCTAATGTAAATACGAGAAGTAGAAGTAGAAGAAGAAGAGAAGAAGTAAACACTTGGAGAGTATTAGCGGCAAGATAAATGACGATGGCTCGTTTCTCTTTATTAAAAGGAATCGTTTCGTCGAGCAAGATGAAAACGAGGGAACGAAGAATTAAAAGGGAGAGGGAGGAAAAAAGAAAAGAAAAAATAAAAGAAGTAAAAGAAAATCTTAAACGTAC